GTAAAGGGCCAGATAAGTATTTTAGGCTGTGTGGAACATGTGTTCTCTCTTACCTACTCTCTTACACCTGCTCTGCTGGGGTGATGCAAGGCAGCCACTGCCAATATGGAAATGGATAAGCGAGGCTGTATTTCAACAGAATTTTATGTATGGGAGCCTGAAATTGGAATTTCATATGATTTTCACTGTTAACAAAATATTCCTTTTATTTTTCAACCATTGAAAAATGTAAAAACTATTCTTAGCTCATAACCACATAAAAGCAAGTGACTGGCTAGATTCTGCCTGGAGGCCAGAGTCTGCCATCCCTGTCTTTCAGAGCAATCACTAAAATGATAAAACAAAGAGTTAGAACTAATAAGCCAACGAAGAAATACAATGGAAAAAAAATGTACTCATTCCAAAAGAAGGAAGATAAAGAGGAACAGGGAAACAAAGAAGAGATAAGTAGAAAACTAATAAGCTTATCTAATAAAAGAGAAACATGCAAATTGACCGTACCTTTGTTACACTCACAAGCCACGCCCACCAGCCAATCAGAGCAACTATATGCAAATTAACCCAACCAAGATGGCAGCCGGCAGCCATGGAGCTGGAGCAAGCAGGAGGCTTGGTTGCCTCGGCTGTCGGCTCCACTCAAGGCAACAAAGTTTCAATTATATAAGATAAATAAACCCCAGATACCTGCTTCCAGCCAGCCTCCACTGGGAGCTTGGGTGGCTGGGGGCTTGGCCAGCCTGCAAACAGCCATCAGCCCCTGACCCAGGCTGGCCAGGCACCCCAGGGGGGACCCCCACCCTGAAGGGGCTGTGGCCAGCCTGCAAACAGCCATCAGCCCCTCACCCAGGCTGGCCAGGCACCACAGCGGGGACCCCCACCCTGAAGGGGCTGTGGCCAGCCTGCAAACAGCCATCAGCCCCTCACCCAGGCTGGCCAGGCACTCCAGCGGGGACCCCCATCCTGAAGAGGGTACGGCCAGTCTGAGAATGGCCCTCAACCCCTCACCCAGGCTGACCAGGCACCCCAGCAGGACCCCCACTCTGATCCGGGACACCCTTCAGGGCAAACCTGCCGGCCCCCACCCATGCACCAGGCCTCTATCTATGTAATAAAAGGGTAATATGCAAGTTGACCCTACCAGCAGAACAACTGGGAATGACTGGTCACTATGACACACACTGACCACCAGGGGGCAGATGCTCAATGCAGGAGTTGCCCCCTGGTGATCAGTGCACTCCCACAGGGGGAGCTCTGCTCAGCCACAAGCCAGGCTGATGGCTACCAGTACAGCAGTGGTGGAGGGAGCCTCTCCCGCTTCCTCAGCAGCGCTAAGGATGTCCGACTACAGCTTAGGCCTGCTCCCCACTGATAAGTGGACATCCCCTGAGGGCTCCCGGGCTGCCAGAGGGATGTCTGACTGCCAGCTTAGGCCCAATCCCCCCAGGGAGCGGGCCTAAGACAGCAGGTGGACATCCCCTGAGGGGTCCCAGACTGCGAGAGGGCACAGGCCAGGCTGAGGTACCCCCCTCCCCGAGTGCACAAATTTTTGTGCACCGGGCCTCTAGTAACAATATAATAAACTTAAACATAGCTGCTTCAATAAGTAAATGTAAATTATTTAAACATTCTAATTAAAAGGCAGACACTGCCCAGCCTGCCTGGCTCAGGGTTGAGTGTGGACTTATGAACCAAGAGGTCACGGTTCCATTCCTGGTCAAGGTATATACCTGGGTTGACAGCTCAATTCCCAGTGTGAGGTATGCAGGAGGCAGCAGATCAATGATTCTCTCTCATCACTGATGTTTCTATCTCTCTCTTCCTCTCTGAAATCAATAAAAGTATATTTTTTAAATCTAATCTAATAATAGACAAAGATTGAAATTGACCATACCTTCGCTATGCCTCCCATTGGCTAATCAGTGAGATATGCAAATTAACTGCCAACAAAGATGGCAGCTAATGTGCATACTGCAGGCAGATCCTGCTGCGCTGCCCCAGCGCGGATCCGGGCCTGTTGTGTCTTGGGCGGGGCGGGCGGGGCGAGTGGCAGCGTGATCCGTGAGAGGGCTCAGGTTGGGCTGAGGGACCCCCCTTCCCTGCCAGTGCACAAGTTTTGTGCACGGGCCTTCTAGTTAATAAATAAATGGCAGACATTGTCACATTAACTAAAAAAAAGCAAAACCAAACTATATGTTGTCTATAAGAAACTCTTTAAATATAAATATTTAAAAATAGGTTAAGAATAAAAGGATGGCCCTGGCTGGGTTGGTAGGTTGGTTGGAATGTCGTCTGGTACACCAAAAGGTTACAGGTTCAATTCCCAGTCAGGGCACATACCTAGGTTTTGGGTTTGATCCCAGTCCAGGCGCATATGGGAGGCAACTGATCAATGTTTCTCTCTCTTTCTTTCTCCTCTCTCTCTCAAATCAATATCCTTGGGTGAGGATTTTAAAAAGTAAAAATAAAAATATCAAAGGGTGGAATAAGGTGTAGCATGCTAACACCATTCAGTCAAAAGAAAGCAGGAGGGAGTATTTTTTTAAAAAATATATGTTTATTGCTTTCAGAGAGGAAGGGAGAAGGGGAGAGAGAAACATCAATTTTCAGAGAAAATCATTGATTGGCTGTCTCTTGTGTGCCCCACTCTGGGGATCAAACCCGAAACCCAGGCATGTGCCCTGACTGAGCCACACCAGCCGGGCAGGAGGGAGTATTTTAATATCAAAGTAGATTTCAGAGCAAGGAATAGAGAGGGTTATTTCATAATGAGAAAGAGATCAATGAATCAAGAGGACAGAATTATAAACATTTGTGCCCTTGATAATAGTGTCCAATTACAAGCAGCAAAACCTGATAGAACTACAAGGAGAAATAGACAAATCCACAATTCTTTTTAGAGATTTCAGTAAGTTTCTCTCAATAATTGATAGAACAACTGGACAGCAATCATCATCCAGGACATAGTGGAAGGGAACACTATACCCAACAACAGCAGAATATACATTCTTTTCAAGTGCACACAATATTCTGAACCACAAAACAAGTCTTAAAAATTTAAAAGGATTCAAGTCATACAAAGTCTATTACCAGTCTCCAATAGAATTAAATTAAAAATCAATAAAAGAAAGGTATCTGGAAGTCTTCCAAATATCTGGAAACTAAATAGCATACTTCTCAATAATCCACTGACCAAAGAAAAAAATCAAAAGAGAAATTATAAAGTATATTGAATTTAATAAAAGTCAAAACACAACATATCAGAATTTGTGAGATACTGTTAAAGCAGTGCTTGAGGAAATTTACAGCACACAGCACCTATAATAGAGAAGAAGAAAGGTCTGAAATCAATGACCTCCTTAAGAAACTAGAAAAATAAAAATAAATCAAACCCAAAGGAAAGGGAAAAAGGAAACAAAGTCAGAACAGAGATCAATAAAATAGAAAGCCAAAGAAATGAGAAAAGTAATGAAGCCAACTGGGTTCTTTGACAGAAGATCAATGTTTATTGAGTGCCACCTATGGGTCAGGTTCTGTTCAGTCGCTGAGGATATGGCAGAAAACAACACACAAAAACCCCAGGTACAATCCCTCACTGGGGCCTTTCCAACACTGTTTTTTTCTTTTGTTCTACCCTTTTACCGGGAATGCCCTCCCCAGATAATCTACTTGTCTCATTATCCTGCTTTATTTTTCCCAAAGAACTTACTATACGCTGGCATTCCATTTTTCTGTCTTTTTCATTTTTGTCATTTTTTGTCTTTCTTTTCTTTTCTCTCTCTTACTTTGTGTCTTTCTGTGCCTTTTTCCTCTCTCCCTCTTTTTTTCTTCCTTTACAAATTTTCTCTTTGAATGTGAGATGTGAAGATTAGTGCTCAGAAGGTGGAATCTTAATCAAAGGTCAAGTAATTATTTCGGAAATCAAGGTTTAATGCTCATATATCAGGAGCGAAGAATCAAAAATCATAAATATTTGTGGAGGTTAGAGGTCAGGAGGTACCTGCCTGAGCTACTAATAAAGGTCTCAGGCTGGGGTCAGGAAGATCAAGTCTAGTTTTGGGATCACTGGAAAGGCATGTGGAATTCTGAGAACCAGTGTTCAAGAAAGGAGGTCAGAAATTATGGGTTAGGATCATTTAGGTAGGAAACTGACTTTATAAAAGACTAGGACTTGTGGGTTAGAGGTCAGGAAGTCAAGCATCAGAAGTCAGATTTAGAAGCGAGGGCAGCCTAAGATTCACTCACGTGTCCCCATCCTCGGTTACGTAGCCAAAGACCAGGGGCGCCCACGACAGCCCCGGGCCCAGCTCCGCGCCCAATCCCGGTCCTCCGGGGGCCGCTGCATCTGGACCTAGAGAGCCCAGGCCACTGTCGCACCACTCGTCGGCATCCGCAGCTTTCCCCAAGCACGCGACCCCGGCCATGGCCCCCCAAGTCTCAGGGGCCCCGTGGCCGCGGGCCAGTCGCTGGGCTCTGCCTGGAGCTCTGGCGCTTCCGCCCTGCAGGGAATTCCCCAACACTCCCCCTGATCCATCCAATCAGAGTAGGCCAAATCGCTCACGCCCGCCCCCATTTCACTCCATGGCCAATCAGAGTTTTCATGTAGACTACGCTCTCTACCGGTTCCCACATTTTCCAGGCGCCCTTTATCAACATGGCTACCTATCAGCGCAGGGCACTTTGGGACTCGTAGTCAGGACCTCGCTTGTTTATTCTTTTTATTATTATTTTTGTTGTTGTTGTTGTTGTTAATTCTTACCCAAGAATACTTTTCCATTGATTTTTAGAGAGAATGAAAGAGAGAGGGAAAGACAGAGAGAGAGAGAGCGATGTGAGAGAAACACATTGATTGGTTGCCTCCTGCACACGGCCTGGCCGGGGGAACTGCCCTTGACCGAAATAGAACCTGGGACCCTTCGGTCTGCAGGCCCAGGCTCTATCCACCGAACCAAACCGGCTAGGGCTCGTTCGTTTATTCTTACCTAAAAGGGCGCGCCGGAAGTTGTGAGAAAGCCTGTATGCGGCCTCGCTGGCTGCTGGGAGTTGTAGTCCTCTGTCCTATCTCTGACCCTACTGTTTCCGGTGCCGTCACGGGCCGAGCAGTCGGTGACAGCCCCGAGAGCCCCCGCCCACGCTCATGGCCGAGCCGGACCGTGAGTCGGGGCCTTGGTGGGAGGGTCGGGCAGGGCCGCTCCGGGGCCTGCCTGAGATCTGCAGGCCCCGGGGCCGAGGGCGGGCGAGGTGGGGCAGGAGATAGGGGCTGTGTGGGGAGGAGTGGGGTTCTGGGGGCCGTTGCTAAGTTATCCCTATGGCTAGGTTGGTGGGTTTCTGGGTCTCGAGCTTTTAAGGGTCCGTTTGCTTTGTCTTCCAAGTTTAGCAAAGAGGGACCTTGGTTGCCAAGGACCCTCTTTGCTAAAGACTTAGGTTGTTGCTGTCCCGGTTGCTAAGGGGTACCTGGTTGTTTAGGGGGAACTGTAAGATGCTAGGGGGACCCCTGGTGTTCCCTCCTATCTCTTCCCTCTAGTTCCTGTGCCCCTCCTAAACAAACCATCCCCACCGCACCTCCTCTCACTTCCAGTCCGAGATATCTCTTACCTTTTTTTCTTCCTTTCTAAACTTACCACTGTCTGTAAAACCTAACCTTCCCCGGGGGCGCGGGCGCGCGCGCACACACACACACACACACACACACACACACACACACACTATTATGTCCGTCCTGATTCCTCCTGGTGTCCTCCATGCCCTGAATCCTCTACTTTCTCCTCCCTCTACTAAGCCTTCATGTCTCAGCCCCTTTGTCGCTCACTAACCACCTCTCCTCCCAGCACTCTCCACTCTGCTTTTCCCCACCCTCTCCCTCTCTCTACTGCATTTTTACCTCCACCCCCATACACCAGTATAACTAGTTTGGTGGGTCTTCTTGCCCCGGCCCCCTGCTTGAAGCCCTTCATAACTCCTTAACCATTCCCCCCACTGTAACCACATCTGCTCCCCCTCCTCCCCCAGCCTCTGACCCTCTGGAGACCCAGGCAGGGAAGGTGCAGGAGGCTCAGGTGAGATGGGGAAAGGGTGGAGGGAAGGAGAGAGATGGATTTGTTCCCACACCCCACTCCCCTTGGGGGGGCGGGGGGGGGGACAGAAGGGAGAGTTACCCCAGGGCCCTCAGCTCACAGCCCCAGTCCCTCGCCCCCACCTCCCAGTTCAGCTTCCTGGGGAATAGTGGATTCTGAGGGCTATCGGAGTGTGCAGCCTCAACCCCAAGCCTGCCCTCCTGAACTTTTCTCTTTCCTTGCTCCCCACCCTCCAGTCCCTTCTGAACCTCATTTATGCTGCTCCTGGAAGAGACAGGCATCCAACTTGGTCCCTGAACTCATGGATCTCATGGACAAGTGACTAGAAAATGACCCTACAGGGTGATTATGAAAATAGCTCAGGGCACTGTGGAAGCCCAGAGGAAACTTTGTGGGGTCACAGATATTCCAGTCAGTCCCTTCTCTGGAGGAATCCACAGGCTGGTCTAGGAGTCAGATTGAGGTAGACACATTTGCAGTACATGACGAGTGACTGAATTTTCTTAGGCAGGGTGAGAAATGGTGTTCCGCACAGAGGGTGCAGCTAGTGCAGAGACCTGGGAGCCTGGAAGAGTGTTATACGTTTAGTAGGTGGTGACTGGGGGTGGGCAGCTAATTGTATGCATGGCTGACATTTATTGAATACTTCAGCGGGGCACTCTGCTTAGTGCTTTATGGGCATCATCTCATTTCATCTTCCCAGCATTCCTGTGGGAGTCAAGGCCTATTGTGGCCATTTTACAGAAGAGGAATTTGAGGCATAGTTGTTAAGTATCCTGTCCTCTGTCTCTCAGCCAGAAGAGCTGGGAAGGGTTTGCAAGCCACAGCACGCTCACACTGCCTTCCAGATGCTTCGGTGAGAGGTAGACACAGAGGACTGAAAGCCCTGAGAACACCTCTAGGTCCCACATGCTGGGCAGGGCCCTTGAGTCCTTCCACGGAGCCTCACTGTCTGCAGCCTGAAAGAATGCCAGACTCCCACCCCCACCCCCAGCAGCTAAATTGCTGCAAGTTGTAGGCAATGCAGGAGCTGTGATTAGAGCACCTCACAGGCGCACGGCAGAGGAAGCACAAGCGCTTCCTGTCAGGCCAGGGCTTCTCCCTCGCCTGGCTCCCAAAGTGGGGCCATTGTCAGAGAAAGGGAGTTAATCTTAAAAAGGATCCTCAGTCTCAAAGAGAGAGATTCGAGGGCTTAAATTACAGCATTGTCCATAATGGGGCAAAACTGGAAACAGCTCAAGTGACTGTCAGTAGACAGGTTAAGTGAACTATGGGGCCTCCTTACAATGCAACACTATGCAGCTGCTTAAAAGAATGAGGTGGGTCTATAGTGTCTTGTTCTGCAGAAGATGCAGGGTGCAGCATTGTGCTATGATATGACCAAGCTCTGAGAAAATGATGAGTTTCATATTCAGAGTGATAGGGGGAAGGGGTTTTAAGCAGGAGAGTGAGTTGGTCAGAATTGTTTTTACCAGTGCCACTGCAGGGCCCCGCCCTGGTCTAGCACACAGGTGTTCCTTCATTCAGTGGTGGACAGTGCCGGAGCTCCTGCCGGGTGCCAGACCCTATTCTCGGTGCTAGACATCCAGTAGTGAACATGAAAAACCCCTGCCTTGTGGAGCTGACGTCATGGTGGCCCTTGTAGATGTTGTTGATGAGATTATTAGACTGGAGACACCAAAGAGAAGGGCTTGTGAAGTGGAGGGGAGTGGGCCAGCCCAGACAGGCCATCACACGGAGGGTAGAGCGTAGATCAGAGGTGGAGACTGAGGCTGGGAGTCTAGGTAGGAGGCTGGGACAGAGCCCCCAAGGGAAGAGGACAGACTGGACCAGGTGGAGCACTGAAGAGGGGACACATTATGGCAGGAGGGCAGGGGAGGAAGGCTGGATGCATCTGGCAAACTGGGAGATGGAGGCCACACTGAGATGGGGCCCAGGAGGAGGAGCAGGTTTGGGGAAGATGCTGAGGCCAATGTGGGACACAGTGGGAGTGAGGAGCCTTGGATCCCTTAAAGGCAGGCATCCAGGAGGCCATGGGAACCTTGGATCAGAGAGGTGGTATCATCAGTGACTGGACCAAGGCTCTTGGCATGGATGAGGCAGGTATCCCAGGCAAGGTGGAGAGAGAAAGCAGGCAGGGCCCAGGATCTGCAATTTGGGAGCCTGGCTAAGGGGAGGAGTTGATAAGGAAATGGAGGGTTGGAAAGGCAGTAACTGGGGTTTTCAGCAGGAGGGCTGATGACCAGAGGGTGAGGACTGAAGTGTTTTCACTGGCATTATTACATTATTATGGAGTGACTTTGGTGAGGAGGGCTGGGAGGGGGCGGCAGGTGCATGCTACAGGGGACAAAAGGGATGCAAGAGGAGAATGTGGATTTGGCACATGAAATAGCAATAGTCAGAGCTTCCTGAGCACTTACCCCACTGGGTGCTGTCTAAGCCCCTCACATAGATGAACTCATTTCATCTCACAATAGCCCACTGAGGTAGCTGCCCTTTGACATCCATCTCCAAGGTGAGGAGCTCTGAGACTCAGAAAAGCAAAGTCACTCATATGAGATTACAGTCCTTGGGAGAGGCAGGCCATGTCCCCAACGCAGGCACCCTGACCCAGAGCCCACACACTGGGCTGTCCCTCCACCATGGCCCCTCACTTCCTTGGGCCCACATCCCAGCCCAGAGCCTTTCCCAAAACCGGGGTGTCACCCCACCCCCCACTTCTAATCCCACTTCTTGGGCCTGGCCACCTTACCCCCACCCCTTTCAGGACTCAGATTCAGACACTGAGGGAGGAGCAGCTGGTGGAGAAGCAGAGAGTGAGTATCTTTCTTAGGAGCCTCATTCTGCGGGGGCTGAGGTGGGGGTGGTTTAGGGCAGGGGTCTGGGTGATACCCCTCACGTCCATCAGGGATGACCTTCAGGTATGTAATAATGGGTGCACTGCCAATGCCTGGCGCCCCCCGGCTGGATCCAGCATGGACCCTTGAGTTGTGGGAAGGCAGGGGATCCCTGGGCTGGGGCAGGGTTGCTCTGGGCCTCTGTGCACCCAGGCTGAGTGCCCACTACTGTCTCTCTTCTTTTTGGCCAGTGGACTTCCTGCGAAATTTATTCTCCCAGACGTTGGGCCTGGGCACCCAGAAGGAGCGTTTGCTGGACAACCTAACCCTGGAAGGGGTGGCCCACTACATGCTGAGTGAGCGTTGTAAGTCCTTCCCCACCTGCACTGGGCCACTCCCCACTCCTGGCCCCAAGTGATTTCTCAGCCCCCGGCTACTTGAACTATTCACAACTGTTGTCTGCAAGTAACAAGAAACCCAATTCAAACTAGTTTATACCAAAAAAGGAGTCTGTTCAACCCTTAACTAAAATCCAGCTTGAAGCATGGCCTGGTTCAGGGGCTTCCATGTTGTCAAACATCGTAACCCTCTCTGGCGCTGGTTTCTTCTGTGTTGGGGTGAAGGTAGCTCCTGGCAGCTCCAAATGCAAGTTCCACCAGCCTCGCAGCTCCCACTGAAGAGAGCATCTTTCTCCCAACAGAGCAGAGATTGGCTTCAGTTGGTGCAGGTTGGGTCACATTCTTACACCAAACTAATCACTGTGTCTCTGATTGGCCAGACCTGGGTCACATCTCCATTGCTGAACTAATGACTGCACTCTGATTGGCCAAGCCTGTTTGATAGAATGAAGATGATAATAGTATTTCCTTATAGAGTTATTAGGGGTTAAAAAAAAAGTTAATAAAAATGTAAATGCCTGGGCTAGGACATGGAGCATAGCAAGAGCTGTGTGTTCCCTATGATTATTAATTATTACAGAAAGCTTCTTTCAGCTGTGGTGTGTAAGTGCCTTTTTACTGGGTCACCATGTAGTTTATATTTCTTGCTGTGAGCTGAGGTCACCCGAGTCTGAGAAACCAAGCCCTCGGCAGTTCTCAACTAGAACAATCAACCCTTTGAGGGTCCTGAACAGACCTTTGTTGAGGACATCTTCTCCAGTTTCCTTGTCTTCCAGCTGCTGCCGGCTCCCTTCTCGGGTAGCCAGGCTGCCACCCTGAGCCTCCCTCTCCTGGGCAGGCCAGGCAGCTGGCTATAGCCAGCTACTGGCTCGGGTGGGTGGGCAGTGGCTACAGTGTTCCTCCATCTTCCTTCACCTGGATTTTAGGATAATGGGCCTATGAGGGGATAATAATAAATAATAACAGTTAATTGAGTCCTCACTATTTGCCGAGTGCTGGGCCAGGCACTTGACGGGCTTCCTCTCATTTGATTTTCACATCATTATACCTGTGAGGTCATTACAGGAGTAATCTGGACAGAGGAGGAAACTGAGGCACAGAGAGGCTGTGACTTGGTGCAGGGTTACACACTAGTTAGAGGCAGAGTCAAGACTCAACCCCAGCCCTATGAATCCAGAGCACAGGCTCCTTCCCCCCGCTGTCCTCCTTTGGACAGGATACACTAGAGGTGCCTGGTTCACAGGGCTTCACTTGTGTCTGTCCATCAGCTGATGGGCAGATGCCAGAGCTGCATGGCAGGGCTGCCTGCCAGCCAGCAGCTAAAGAGGCAACTGGGCTATTGTGAAATGATTTGACCCCTGTCCTGTCTTCCTATCTTCTGAAAGCTGGTAAATATAGGGGAACAAAGTGCTTATAGGTATACAAATCATGGGTCTCAAGAAATGTAATACAATTGACTCAAGAATAATAGCAAACATATACACAGTTGACCCTTGAACAACACAGGTTTGAAATGCATGGGTCCACATATCAGATTTTTCTCAATAAATACTATATATGTATTTCCTCTTCCTTATGATTTTCTTAATAATTTTCTTTTCTCTAGCATACTTTATTATAAGAATACAGTATATAATACATGTAGCATACAAATATATATTAATTGACTCTTTATGTTATAGGTAAGGATTCCAGTCAACAGTAGGCTATTAGTGGTTAAGTTTTAGGGGAGTCAAAAGTTATACACGGATTTTCAACATGCTAGGGTGGGGGTGGGGTCATCTCTATTAAACCCCCACATTGTTCAAGGGTCAACTGTATAGTGTTTGCCCAGTGCTGGGCACAGATCTAAGTTTTACAAGAATAAATTCAGCCCTAGCCGGTTTGGCTCAGTGGATAGAGCGTCGGCCTGTGGACTGAAAGGTACCAGGTTTGATTCCGGCCGAGGGCACATGCCTGGATTGCAGGCTTGATCCCCAGTAGGGGCTGTGCAGAAGGCAGTCAATCAATGATTCTCTCTCATCATTGATGTTTCTATCTCTTCCTCCCTCTCCCTTCCTCTCTTAAATCAATAAAGAAATATATATTTTTTTAAAAAAAGAATAAATTCATTCTCTCAACAGCCCTGTGAAGTCAGTACTGAAATTATGCCCATTTAACAGCAGGAAACTGAAGTCAGAGTAGGGATCTGAACTGAGACACCCTGATGGTGAGCAGGAGAACCAGGATTTGAATCTGTTATCCACTCTCCTGTTCATTAGGTCTGAGAGTGGCAAATCTTTGGTCTTCACCTGAAAATTGCCAGACTACAGTGTGTTTGATTACAGAGAAAAGAAATGTGTATAATATGCTAGAAATAGGTGGATTCAGGATTGTGTCCAAAAGATGAGGTCCTGCCAGAGATTTTTACAATAACCAGTAACTCTTCTGGGGGAAACCCTCAACCCTAGCCTCCTCATTAAGATCTAGTTTTAGCCCTGGCTGGTTTGGCTCAGCGGATAGAGCATCAGCCTGCAGACTGAAGGGTCCCAGGTTTGATTCCGGTCAAGGGTACATGCCTGGGTTGCGGGCTCAATCCTCAGTAGGTGGTGTACAGAAGACAGCCAATCAATGATTCTCTCTCATCAATGATGCTTCTATCTCTCTCTCCCTCTCCCTTCCCTTCTGAAATCAATTATATATATTTATTTTTTATTTATTTTTTTTAAAGATCTAGTTTATCTCACCCAGCTGGTGTGGTTCAGTGATTGACCATTGACCCATGAATCAGGAGGTCACCATTTGATTCCCGGTCAGGGAAGATGCCTGCTCAATCCCAATGCAGTGATTCTCAACCTTCCTAATGCCGTGACCCTTTAATACAGTTCCTCATGTTGTGGTGACCCCCAATTTCATTGTTACAAATTGAACATAATTAAAGCATAGTGATTAATCACAAAAACAATATGTAATTATATATGTGTTTTCCAATGGTCTTAGGCGACCCCTGTGAAAGCAGTTGAGAACCGCTGCAATAGGGGGTGTGTAGGAAGCAACCAATCGATGTTTCTCATTGATGTTTCTCTCTCTATCTTTCTCCCTTCCTCTCTCTAAAATCAATAAAAACATATATTTAGAAAAAATCTAGGTGTGTCTAGGTCTAGTTAGGGGCAGAAGCTTCTCTACAAGTGGCCTTTTCTCGACTAAGTTGGTATAATTTCAAACAGTGGATTCTTTGTCCCCATACTGGCTCTTCCACCAATCAACTGTGTGACTGCTTCCCCTCTCTGAGCCTTGGTTTCCTCATCTGTAAAGTGGGGATATTAACACCACCTGCCTCGAGGTGGTTGGGAGGACCATTCATGCATCTGCAATGTTTGCCCCAGGGCCTGGGACCAAGTGAACAGTGTCAAGGGCTGTGATAGATGGTGTTATTTTGAGGCCAAGCAAACCATGTCATATGATGCATAAACTCCTTTCTTCCAGGTCGCAGGGTCATCTGTTTGGTGGGAGCTGGAATCTCCACGTGTAAGTGCCCCCTCCCCCTGTTTTGGGGGAGCCCCTTCCAGGGGCGAGGGGGGAGAGGGAGCGCCGTGTCTAGGCCCTCACTTGGAAGGGTCACTGTGGTATAGATGGGGCCCAGGTCCCTGATGGATTGCTCCCTGCCCCTCCTCCCCCAGCCGCGGGCATCCCTGACTTCCGCTCCCCATCCACGGGCCTCTATGCCAACCTGCAGAAGTACCATCTTCCCTATCCAGAGGCCATCTTTGAGATTGGCTACTTCAAGGTATGTGCAGGGAGGAATGTTTGCAATGATGGGAATAGGGGATGGAATGGGGTCATCTGCTCTCATGTCACCAGGGGCATCTGGGTGCCCACCTGCCTTTCACTTTCTCTTCCACAGAAACATCCAGAGCCCTTCTTTGCCCTCGCCAAGGAACTCTATCCTGGGCAATTCAAGGTGAGCTTTTTTTCCCCAATATATTTTATTGATTTTTTACCGAGAGGAAGGGAGAGGGATAGAGAGTTAGAAACATCGATCAGCTGCCTCCTGAACACTCCCTACTGGGGATGTGCTGGAACCAAGGTACATGCCCTTGACCGGAATCAAACCTGGGACCCTTTAGTCCGAAGGCCGACGCTCTATCCACTGAGCCAAATCGGTCAGGGCAAGGTGAGCTCTTTTTTGCCAGGGAGAACAGCAAAGGCTGTTGGACAGCAGGCATGGGAAGGGCCACTTGGACAAATACAAACTGGTCATTAAATACATGGGCTCTGACTCCTGATCCCTCATTTCCTGCTCTTTTTTGTTGTTAATTTTTACCTGAAGATATTTTTTCCATTGACTTTTAGAGAGAGGAGAAGGGACAGGGAGAGACAGAGATAAACATCGATGTGAGAGAAACACATTGATTGGTTGCCTCTCACACGAGCCCTGGCCAGGGCTGGGGATTGAGCCGGCAACTGAGGTATGTGCCCTTGACCTGAATTGAACCCGGGACCCTTCAGTCCACAGGCCAAGGCTCTATCCACTAAGCCAAACCAGCTAGGGCTCCCTGTTCTCTTGACCTTGAGCCTCAGTTTTTCCATTTGTAAAATGAAGCTGATAATATTATATGAAAAGGGTTGTTGTGAGGCTTAAATGAGTTAACAATATGTACAAAAGCCCAGTCTCTGGAGACAGGCTGCTTTTGTACAAACCCCAACTCTAAACTTGGCAGCTGTGCGACTTTGGCAAGATAATCAGCTTCCATGTGCTTCAGTTTCCTCATCTGTGAAATGGGGATAATGATGGCCTGTGCCTCACAAGGTCAATGTGATGATTCCATGAGGTAGAACAGGCACAGTGCCCAGAGCAGTGAGCGGCAGGTGTCGATGTCGGGAGCCTTCTCTTACTGTCATCATTGTTATGATTGCTCCCCTCCAGCCGACCCTGTGTCACTACTTCATCCGCCTGTTGAAGGAGAAAGGGCTGCTCCGGCGCTGCTATACTCAGGTAGGCGGACCGTGGGCATCCTGGGAGGGAGAGGGAGGCTGCCTGTGACCTGGTGCCTCAGTGGTAAGAGCTCGGGCCCCTGCTGCTTTGTCCTGTGACCTGCAGTGAGCCATTTCCCCTCTCAGCCTCAGTTTGCCCTTCTGTAAAGCAGAGGCCAGAACAGCTACACACTCTCAGGCCTGTGGTGACATGGCAGTGAGCTCCTCTTCTCCGAGCCATCCCACATGTACTGAGAAAGGACCTGGTGCCTGAGGGGAGGGGACACCATTTACACCATAGATTTCATAGATTTTCCAGCAGATGATACCAGAATGACTGGATCTAACAAAATCCGTACACTATGTCAGTATCCTAATGGGCAGGTGTAGTGTCTTAAGAAAGGGTCATCTTTTTATGATTTGCACAAAAGCCTCATATGTGCTATGGGTTCCTGGCTCATACCTGTCAGGTGCTGAGCCTAGGGCCTCAGCCTGGGGTACTCAGGCAAAGATGGCTCACCTTGTTGGCTCCTGGACTTCTGGGATCTCACACCCCTAGCAGTAAAAAATGTTTATGCCTCTACCTTTGTTTTTTGGTTATGTATTGAAATTACATGATATCATGCATGCTATAAATTATACTGTACCTCAGAACCCCAAATTGTAAAATAGAGAACACATGAATATAAATAGGTGTTCTAATATTTCCTTCCTGCACCTGGCAGTTTGGAGCCCGCAGCCTCAGAAACTGCCACCAGGGGGAGGATGAATTCTTTGTAGGCCCAGATTTTTCAAATGGAGTGCAGGTGCTCCTGCCTAGAGCTGGTAGTGTGATGGGGTAGGGGACAGTCACCTCCTAGGAGTGGCCCAGGCTCAAGATAAACCTGACCTTTCTTCCCAGAGGGTCAGCTTTATCCACAGGATGTGGCTCAGACATGATACAATGGCTCATCTGAGCCAGTGCCCTCCGTGCATGATTTCGTGGACTCCTCACCTTGCCCTTGCTGGCATCCCTGTTTGTTAGCTTGTCACAAACGTTTACTGAGTGTCAACCGAGTGCCAGGCCCTGCTGGCAGCAAACAGAGCAGACTCCCTGCCCTCCTGAAGCTGACATTAATGTGGGGAGAGACCATGGACAAGATGCATAAGTAGCTTATGTACTGTGGCAGATGAGAGTTCTGTGGAGTAGGTTTAAGCAGAAAGGGAAATCTGAACCTCTGTGTGTGGAGGGTGGAGTGTTGTTATAAACAAGGTATCAGGAAGGCCTCACTGAGACATTTAAACAACGACCTAAGGGAAGGAACCATGAGATTATTTTGGGGGACTGCGTTCCAGGCAAGGGAACGGCCAGTGCAAGATCCTGAGGGAGACCGAATTTGATGTGTTCAAGAAGGTGGATCTGAGTAAGCGAAGAGGACAGTAGTAGGAGAGAATGGAGGAGATGAAGTCAGGGAGGTGACAGGGGCAGACCTTATGGGGTCTCAGGCCTGAGCAAGATGGTGCCACAGGAGGGCTCTGAGCAAAGCAGGGATGAGATTAGGTGTCCCTCTGGCTGCCTGTAGGAGCTAGACCAGCCGTGGGCAAACTACGGCCCGCGGGCCGGATCCGGCCCGTTTGAAATGAATAAAACTAAAAAAAAAAAAGACCGTACCCTTTTATGTAATGATGTTTACTTTGAATTTATATTAGTTCACACAAACACTCCATCCATGCTTTTGTTCCGGCCCTCCGGTCCAGTTTAAGAACCCATTGTGGCCCTCGAGTCAAAAAGTTTGCCCACCCCTGAGCTAGACTATGGGCGCAGTGGGGAGGGGGTTACAGAGACCAGGGAGGAGGCTGCTGTGATGGTTTAAGCAGGAGAGGATGGAGGCTGGGCCAGGGTGGGGGCTGTCAAGGGGAGAAGGGGCAGGTTATGAATCCATTTTAAAGCTTGAACCAGCAGGACTTGTTGATGGATTGGATGTGAAATGATTCATGAGAGAGAGGAGTCAAGGATGACTGGACAGCTCTCAGCCTGGGCACCTGCTGCTTTTTACTGAGATGGTGGGAGGTTGTGGGGGTGGGGGCAGAAGAGGAGTTTGCTTTGAGGCCTATTGAGGTTGAGATGCCACGTGGAGATGTGGACAGATGGTCGGACACAGGAGTCTAGACTAGTCTAGTCCAGAGGGGCAGCGTATAAACAATGTTTAAACTCACCAGACAGGATGAGATCACGGGGTTCCAGCATGAGAAGCCCAGGCCCAGGACAAAGTGCCCGTCAGAGCTGCTCAGCGGGCTCACTTCCCAGCTCTGCAGAGGCAAATGTGCCTGCCCTTGACCATGAAAGTATGGCAGCTGCCTCCTACTTTTACACGAGAGCCAACATGAATACATTCTGGGGTCAAAGGGTACTCTGCAGGCATTCCCCCTCCAGTTGCAACATTTAATGCATGAAATTTAACTATATATAATATTCAAACTGGCATACTACCTAAAATAAAGGTGGGAAAAAAATCTTTCCATTCTCACATTTCATGAAACCATTTTTTTCAAACTTAACACCCTCTTCCTTGATCTCAGCCACTATTTGAGTCACTGACCCAGTTTCCTGGAACACATTGTCTTCACTTCTTTCTGAATTGTGGTGACGCAGCAATTCTGAAGCGACATATCATGCAGTTTTTATATAAAGGCACAAGTATCCACTCAAATGTTCGAACAGTTGCCCTGTTCACCTAAGTTACTTGATCATCACAGCAACACATTCTTTGAAATATTGGCATTTGCACTATACATAGGGTTTGGACTTGTCTTTCTTTCTTTTCAACCAATTTATTTGCCCTCTTTATTTCTCTTTCACTGGGCAGCTAAAAGAAGGAAATCCTTTCTTAGCACAATTCATTGATCTCCCGCCTCAGCTCGCATTTTGGTAATGCACAGCCATACTTGTGCATTATTTTTATTATAAGTATTTATTTAAGCCAAACATATGATGGAAGCACGATCTCAAATGTTCCCTGAACTTAGCTTTCTTTCACCTCACCCCTTGTCTGAAAGATCTTCCGTATCCTCACCCACATAGCAGCTTCATGCTTTTTAAAAGCTGTCAATGGTGATATGTCTAACAGGGACACAATGTTTTAAAACAAAAAGGGAACCAAGGTTTAAAAATCAGATTTCAGGTGAAAACCCTAAAAATTGGGAAGCGCTGCATCCTGGGTGCCTTCTCCGGGAGAATAGCTGGTGTAGTTGAGTAGCCACTGCCCACTCTCGGAACTGCTCACCCTTGCCCAGGGCACACCCCTCCATGGCCGGTTTCCTGCCAGGCACCAGGGCCATGTGGCAGTTGCTGAGTATCATCTCAAGTTCAGTGCTTGTCCTTTGGGACAGAATCTCCTTGGGCCATACTGCCCAGCCCCCAGCTCCCCTCCCTGCAGGCCCCTGATGTGGGCTCCTTCGCGTGTCTCATTCTGTGGCAAGCAGATACACAAATTCAAATATATTTTTTTCACATCCTGTACACACTGCTTTGTGCTTTTTTTGCCTTTTAACATAGTGGCGAGATCATTTCCTATCCGTACATACAGGTTGGCCTCATTCTTTGTTTTTGTTTCTTGATTTCACATGGCATCAAAGAATAACAGGCATTCAGGCAGTTCTACACGCTGTTGAGTTATCTGCGCACACACTGCTGATGTACAAGGGAGTCAATAGTAGGCTGAATCAAGTAACAAAGGCAAACTAGGATTCCCAGTGGAGAGGGGGAGGGAGAAAGCTGCAGAGAATCTGGGAACAGTGACTCTTGTCTGCATGTTCTGGGGGTAAGCTGATTTCTGGCAGGGAGGGGAGAGTGCAGTTGGGGCCATCTGCCCTTGAAAGGAACCTTTCAGTTGTCCATGGCATCTCCAGGAAACCTTGTCGGTTCAGCTGTGGGCCTCACGTGACGGACCGTCTCTGTAACATCTGCCCATGTCCTCGGTCGGCACCGCCTCACGGGCAAACGAAAACTGCTCCAGAGAGGCTGCGTGTTGAGAGAAAAATGAGAGCACAAATGTGTATGTGGGAGAGAATATCCTTGATGGTGAATAAGGAAAGTTTCTTTGTCTCAAAGGAATACAGTTAAGATTCTATCCGTGAAACAGACCTGTCAGAAACCTGGCTGCTAAATAGGGAAAGTGTGACTAAAACCACAAAGCCCCCCTGAGTTTTTTATTTCTGCTGCTGCTTGGCCAGGGCTGCCACACACAGCTGTGCAGTCTGGGTGCTGCACAAGAACGCCACATCGGAGGGGGCTCCGTTTACAATGGGAGCATTGTACATCATTTCAACAGATTTCTAGTAGGTGGCACTAAAGTATGTGGTTCCGACAAAACAAATGATCTGAAAAATGGAAGCAAAGTGGCCTGAATTTGCAGAGAAATGCCATATGGGCTGGTGATGGCCATGGGCCTGGGCTCATACACATTTGAGTTTGGACCCGTGCCTATAAGCATCCATGACTTTTACCCTTTCAGTGGCACCATAAGAATAAACAGAATTTTTTAGACACACCCTGCCCCTTGCTTTCCCTACCTTCTCTCTCTCCCTGTCCCACTGGTTTCTCTTGGCTACAACTCCCTGCTCCGTCTCCTGCTCCTGACCCTCTTCCCTCCCTCTCTCCCTCCAGAACATAGACACCCTGGAGCGAGTGGCAGGGCTGGAGCCTGAGGACTTAGTGGAGGCCCATGGCACCTTCTACACGTCGCACTGCATCAGCCCCCTCTGCCGGAAGGAGTATACACTCAGCTGGATGAAAGGTGAGGGGCTGGAGGTCATCCCTAAGGGCAGGCCTTCTGCCCACTGTCCGCTGCTCAGCTCCAGGGACAGGGCCTTCCCCAGTGGGCACCTGTTCTGCCCTGCACAGCTCTGTGGCTCTTTTTAGTAGATAATGGCAGCCTCCAAAGATTTGAAGTGACAGTGAGGTTCATTGCTCCACCACAACCTCACAGCCAGGTTATGATGGATGCAAGCTCCAGATTCAGGTCAGCCGCACACAGAGACAGGTTGCAGAGGCCCCCAAATGGTCATACCGCCTCTTTTGTGATGTCATGAAACCCTAGCTCTTTGCCCTTTGAGGGGCTCTGACCTTAGTGTGCCTGATGTGCTCATCAAGGCAGCCGGAACTAAGTTCTCAGGAGAGCAGAGCTGTCCGATAGAGCTTTCTGAGATGAGGGAAACCTCCCATCTCTGCACTGTCCGGTATGGCAGCCGCTGGCTTCACTGAAATGTGGCTAGTGCAGGGGTGGGCAAACTTTTTGACTCGAGGGCCACAATGGGTTCTTAAACTGGACCGGAGGGCCGGAACAAAAGCATGGATGGAGTGTTTGTGTGAACTAATATAAATTCAAAGTAAACATCATTACATAAAAGGGTACGGTCTTTTTTTTTTTTAGTTTTATTCATTTCAAACGGGCCAGATCCGGCCCGCGGGCCGTAGTTTGCCCACGGCTGGGCTAGTGGGACCAAGGAACTCAATTTTAAATGTAAAAAGCCATATCTGCTATGACGACCATATGGGACAGCACTTGAAAGAGAAACACAGGACTCAATTAGCCCATGAATTCAGGCGAGCAGAATCTATGGAGTGTGAAGCCAAACACAGGCCTGGTCAGGGTTGAAGGCTGGGGCTGCCCCTAGGGGTGCAGACTACGGGGCTTGCTAAAGTCATAGTCCCCATTCATGTTAGGGCAGAGTGTCCAAAAAAGGGGGGGAAATTTTTCAGCCAACCCACATTTCTTGAATACAGCACGAGCCTATTTCTGACCTCCACTGTGTGAATTAAGAAGTCACTTATGAAGAAATGAATGTGAGGTGTGAGGAATCATAGGAGCTAAGAACGAAGAAAAGGCAAAAAAAAAAAAAAAAAAAGTCACTTATTTCACCCATGAAAACCCATTTCTGACATTCTTTATGCTAACTTCACAAAGCCTCTGGTGTCCATGGGAGATAAGGACACTTGTATTAGGGCCTCTGGATAAAATACCAGCTGACCATCCTTCGAGTGAGGAGGCCTGAACAGCCCAGCTACGTGCAGCTGGGGATGATGTACAGTTAACATAACCCCATTATGTTCACTTACAGCAATAGCTCATGCAGCACCCACAAAATAGGATACTGTCAATGCAGAAATGTTTTAAAATAAATGACAGACATTAAAACACTTCTCTAACTATTTGTCAAAGAAATGAATGGTTGAATGAATGAGCTAGGATTCTATGGATTGCAAGTGGCAGAATGCTTTTCAAGTTTTCTTAATCAATAAGCAATAAGGAGACAGACCAGTGTGCCTCAGTGGTTGAGTGGCAACCTATGAACCCAGAGGTTGCTGGCTCGATTCCCAGTCAGGGCCCATGCCTGGGTTGTAAGCTCAATCCCCACTGCGAGGTGTGCAGGAGGCAACTAATTAATGATTCTCTCTCATCATTGATGCTTCTGTGTCTCTCTCCCTCTCCCTTTCTGAAATCAATAAAAATATACTAAAAAAAATTATAATAAGCAATAAGGAGCATGATAGTCACAGTATGGTGTGTGGGGGTGTCAGTCACAGAACCCAAGTCTGCCTAAAGATTTCTCCCCATCCCAGGATCATCTGTGTATTCTTCCCTCTTGTTCTGCCACCAGGCCTGGGACCTCAGGCCTCTCTGCCCCAGGAGGAAATAGGGCTGCCCTCAAAGACCCACAGACAGAACTTCACTCTTGATTCCAGTTTCCCCAGGTTGGGAGTTGGGGAGTCCAGTGGCCCCTGTTAGGAGCAAGTGTCTGCTCATTTGTTGACTCTTTCATTCAGTAGCTAGGCCTGTTGCTGGGAGCCACCCTTGGACTCCTGGGGCATGGGGGAGGACAGGGGCAGTTCTCTGAGACGGGGGGTCCCTTCTGAGCAGGGCAGATACCCAGGTGGTTCCCTGGTGACTGAGGTGTGTTTGCGTGGACAGTGAAGAAAGGGGCAGGGGAGGTGGCAGGGCAGGCTGCAGCCCCAGCCCAGAGCCTCTCACCTCCTTCTCCCCTTCCCCTTCTCCACACCCAGAGAAGATCTTCTCCGAGGTGACTCCCAAGTGTGAGAACTGTCAGAGCGTGGTGAAGCCTGGTGAGCCTTGGGGCCAGGGACCAACCGAGGGAGATTTGGACTGCCCCAAATCTAATGCCAACTTGGAAACACCCCACCCCACTAACCCCTTCCCCAGAAGGCCTCAGTCGCCATCCACCCACCTCTGGTCACCCTCTCTCTAGGGAGAGGGCTCTGTACCCTGGCCTGTCCCTGCTGCTCTGCACCCCCCACCCAGCCCTGAGGTCTGCCTTCTGCTCCTTCCTGTACTCTGCCTCCCCTTGTTCACTGTCTTTTTCTGTCCTGTGTTGTCTGTCTGTCCATCCGTTTCCACCTCAGATATCGTGTTCTTTGGTGAGAACCTCCCAGCGCGTTTCTTCTCCTGCATTCAGGCAGTAAGTGTCTCCATCACCACTCTGTGCTCAGCCCATGTGGGGACAGCCTGGACCCTGCCCTGGGGAGGGTCACTTCCTCAGCCAGCTGTTTGTGGGCTTGCAGTGGGGACTGGGGTGGGGAGGGAGGGGCTCAGCCTCAGCTGAGGGTGGAGCCCTCATGGCCATGGCCACTCCCCCTTCACAGGACTTCCTGAACGTGGACCTGCTCATCATCATGGGCACCTCCCTGCAGGTGCAGCCCTTTGCATCCCTCATCAGCAAGTAGGTTGGGGTTTGGGCTCGGGGGTGCTGGGGATAGGGGAGCCAGGACAGGTCCTCACTACTCAGCTCGCCATCCTCCCAGGACACCCCTCTCTACCCCACGCCTGCTCATCAACAAGGAAAAAACTGGCCAGGTGAGTCGGCTTTTATTCACTTCTCGTTCTTCCCTGCCTGCTTGATCCTCACATGGGTCCCCATTTCTTCCCACTGGCTGCCTCGGAATGATGGGATGGGTCTCTAGGGAACCCAATAGTTCAGACCCCTCAGCTCCGGACCAGGGATTCCAGAATCCAGAGGGATCAAGTTCTGGGCTGCCCTGACTCTAAAATTCCACAGGCTCTGGGTCATTCAGAGCCCTTTTGAGCAAGTGACATAACCCCAACTCAGAGCAACTGAAGCCAAAACACTTCCTGGGACTGAAGAGTCAGGGCAGCGGGAGCCTGGGCCTTCTCAGTGTCATCAGAGTCACCAGGGGCCTCCTCTTGGAGAGTAATGTTTCTTCCAACAGGCAAAACATGCCATGTGCCAGACGCTGCTGTAAGCGTTTTCCCTGGGTTAACCCACTGACAGTACAGCCCTCGGTGTGGGTTCGATGATCATCCCCACTACAGACAAGGAAACAGATTCCGAGAGGCCAGGTCACTTAAGCGAAGTCACAGAGCTGGGATGCAAACCCCGTGCTCTTATCTCTCCCCATACCCCCTCTTCCCTGCAGACTGACCCCTTCCTGGGAATGATGATGGGCCTTGGGGGAGGCATGGACTTTGACTCCAAGAAGGCCTACAGGTAAGGCCTGGATCTGCTGTGGGGAATGGAGCCTGCGAGGGACAGGTCCAAGGTGGGGGTGGGGAGGGGGTGGGGCATGAAGGCACACAAACAGGGCAGAGCTAGCAGGGGCCTGGGGCAAGCCTGGGAGATCTGATTCTCACTCAACCACAGGGATGTGGCCTGGCTGGGTGACTGTGACCAGGGCTGCCTGGCTCTTGCTGACCTCCTCGGATGGAAGGTGAGGAGCCTGGGCCACCCCAGCCCTCCCTGAGCCCAGTCCCTGGACCCCTGCCCCATGGGTCCTCTGACCCCATGAGGCATGGTGACCTCTGACCCCTGGAAACATTGTCCCCTGCAGAAGGAGCTAGAAGACCTTGTCCGGAAGGAGCATGCCAGCATTGACGCTCAGTCAGGGTTGGGGAGCCCCAACCCCACCACTTCAGCTTCCCCCAGGAAGTCCCCACCTGCCGCCAAGGAGGAGGCCAGGACCACGGAGGGGGAGAAACCCCAGTGACACCTGCGCCTCCCAGGCAGGATACCCCGCTCCTTTGGGGCAGTTGAGCCCCAACCAGCCCTGGTCCTCCCTAACTTGCAGCTTTTGTCTGGGGAGCTCAGAGCATTCCCTCAGTCTCATAACCACCCCCTCCTAAAACTGGGGTCCCAGCCCCCCTGACCCTGGCAGATCTCTAACATCTCCTGGGGGCTGAGGCATGAGCCACCCATCTCTAACAGCCGGACCCTCTAGCTACCCCAGGGGCAAGGATCAACCTCCCTAATGTCTAACTGCTCCCGGGAGACCGAGGAGCCTCCAAATTTCTAACTGTCCCAGGACAGGGCCATAGAGCCCACATACTTTCAACTGCTCCCAGGGGCCTGTGGCCAAGTAGACAAAATTTAACCTACCCTGGCAGGACTGGAGGCCCTCCAAACATAACTCATCAAATGGGGGGATTTGAGCCTGCAGACCTCCCACCTCTCTGCCTCCAATTCCTAAAGTGGGTGCTGGGCTGCCTTCACTCAGGACCCAATTCCCATGCGGAATGGGCAGATGATGTTGCCTATTGGAGACAAATTAAAAACAAAAAACTAACAGTCAGCTGTCTGGCCTCGCTGTTCCTTTCTGTGGGCTCGCAGGGAAGCAGCTGAGGGAGGGGTGAGAGCTTGGGCCACTTAAGGAAACCAAGACATCTACAGGCTCTTGTGAGAAATAGAGCAAGGGGTGCCAGAGAGGCTCCTACCCCTGACTTCCACTCATCAGGATTCCTTCTTCCAAAGCCCTGTTATCTGAGGCCTAAGGCCCCAGAAAGAGGCAAGAAGTCAATTTCAGATACCCCCCCAGCTCCGCCTCTTCCCCCCCTCCACCCCACCCAGCCAGCTCAGCTTCCTCTCTGTGAGGAAATACTTTCACTTCCTGCTCCTTCAGGCCTCCCCTCGGAGAACAGGTAGGGGCCCCCAGGGACCCAGCAGCTGGCATGGTTATCCCCCTGTGCCACCTTTGGTATTAAGCAGCTCCCCATCCTGCTCTGCCCAGCACCAACCACCTCCTCCTCCCCTCTCATGGGACCCAGGTGAGCACCTGCCTCCTTCCCCCACCCCTCTTGCCTGCTCCTCCCTGGACAGGGCACCTGCTCTGGTTCCCCCTTCCTAACACCGTGGGCTTCTGGTCAGCGGGCTGGTTGATTTGTTAAGCTGTTTATTATCCATCTTCTCTACCCGCCCCAAGAAGATGGATGCCCCCTGAGAGCAGGCCTATTCTGTCCCCAGGCCACAGGCACCTAATTCTGGGCCTGTACTCAATATTTGTGGGATGCATGGATGCCTGAATGCATGGACCCAGGTCTCCTGCACCTGGGAGTGCTACAGGGGAAATGTTCAAAAATGCCCACTATAGGACTCTGTACCTGGTTAAGAGTTGGGGTCCGATGGACAGATAGAGGGATGTCTATGTGAGAAAGCAAAGATTAAAATAATGGTAGAATCTAGGTAGTGGGCATATGGGAGTTCCCTATAAATTATTTTCTGTTATTTTTTTTAATGTTTGAAATTTTTCATAAAAAAAAAATAATGGGACAATATTTGAGGGCCCTCTGTGGTCTGGGAAGTGTGGAGGAGGGGAAATTGTATAACTTTTGTCTCATGGATCCTAACTAGGCACTGGGTCTTGGCTAGGCTTGTTACTCAACTGGTCCACATTCACACGGCTGCACTGGATATTAAAACCTGAAATATTTCCCTACCATTTGGTAAATGTTTGTCATTTTGAGTCCTCTCCCTCTCCCCCTACCCCAAGACACACTGCCCTTCCTCCTGGCATGCCCAGAGCACACCGCCATCCAGTGGTGAAGAATTCACACCTGGCACAGCAAGGAGCCGTAGGTCCATTCCAATTGGTCAGGGTCTCTGCCATGTTGGTTGTAAATATTTTGAACATAATCCCTGAACTAGAGCAGCCTTGAGCCTTATCTTCCTCCCTGCCAGAGGCCAGGCCATGGCTTGCTGGCCTCCTACATCCTGAGGATGGCTCAGCCAGAGGACCAAGCCTTGGCATGCCCCACCAATGGGGAGAGGTGAGTACTACTGGGGCTGGGGTCTCCATCTCCTGCCCCTGGATTCAGAAACCCCTTCCATCCAATTGGTGCCCCGCACAGGACCCCTTACCCCATCTCTGATCTCTCACCCCCAGGCTTTCCTTTCCTACCCTTGATCCCACCTCAGTGTCCAACTGCCCATCTCTGACCCCTGGTCTCCTGGACCCTGCACTTCCCAGACTGGTCCCATCACAGGAGAATGGAGCAGGTGAGACCTGCTTAGGGGTTCTCAGGGCCCCAGAGCCACTTCTTCGACTGCAGAGGACCTGGGGAGTGTGGCAGATCCCAGAGCTGGATGCCCCAGCTGCAGAAGCCCTTTTGGAGCTGTGGCCACCTGGGGTGAGTATTCATAGCTGGAGACCCTTTCTGACCCTCTCATGACACCCTGGATCAGTTAGGACTCTGCTGGTTGTTAGTGACATACACAAACAGGCCAAACCAAAAAGGCTACTTATTGATTCAAATGACTGAAAAACCCAGAATTTCAGGAACGCCTGGATCCTGAGTATCAGACAACTTATACAGTTCTCTTCATCCTAATTCTTTGCTTTGCTTTAAACTGTGGGGAATTCTGAATGTTTTGGGCTGTAAGTAACAAATGCTCATTCTATAGTAGTTTAAACAAATAAGCATTTATATTTCTTTTTTAAAAATATATTTTTATTGATTTCAGAGAGGAAGAGAGAGGGAAATCATTGATCGACTGCCTCCTGGACACCCCACACTGAGGATTGAGCCTGCAACTCGGGCATGTGCCTTGACCTCCTGGTTCATAGGTTGACGCTCAACCACTGAGCCATGCCAGCCAGGCTATTTCTTTTTGTTGTTGTTGCTATTTTGTTTTATTAATCTTCACTTGGGGATATTTTTCCATTGATTTTTAGAGAGAGTGAAAGGGAGGGATGGGGGAGAGAGAGAAAGAGAAACATCTATGTGAGAGAGACACATTGATTGATTGCCTCCCGCACACGCCCCAACCGGGGATCTAACTCACAGCCTAAGTGTGCGCCCTTGACTTGGAATCGAACCCACGACACTTCGATGTGTGCACTGATGCTCTAACCAGCCAGGACAGCATTTATCTTTCTAACATAACCAGAAAGGCAACTGCTGGCTCTAGTTCAGCACCTTAAGTGGCATCAAGGGCAGCGTCTGCAGTTCTCTTGGACTTTCCCATAGTTGCCCAGTGGCTGTTCCAGGTCCAAGCACATGTGTGTGTTCCAGGCCAGAAGGGAAGAAAGGAAGCACCAGTTGCATCTGTTTCTTTTATCAGCAAAAGCAATGGCCTTTACATTTGATTCAGAATATATGGATGGGGCCCAGTAGCAATATTTTTTAAAGCTCATCTAGGAATTATACAGCCAGAGACAGGAAACCACTGACTATTATTCATCTTCTATGGCTGTGCATATTAATGCCCTGTACAAAGTTGGGGTTCTGCAAGGAATAGGGGATAGATTTGGATAAGACAACTAACGGGTCTACCATAGCTCCCTCCCTGAGGGAGCTCTCTCCTTATGGTGTCTGAGATGGCTGTCCCTAGCGCAGCACCACACCTCAACAGATTAGCAACTCCATTGTAAAAGGCTTCTTGCCCTGGCCGGTGTGACTAAGTTGGTTGGGTGTTGCCAATGCACCGAAAGGCTGCTGGTTTGATTCCAGATCAGGGCACATGCCCAGGTGGCAGGCTTAATCCCCAAGTGTGTGGGAGGGGGGGGGGGGGGATTAATGTTACACTCCCACATTAGTTTCTCTCTCTCTCCCTCTCCCTTCCTCTCTGTAAAAATCAATAAACTATTAAAAAAAAAAAAAAAAAAAGGCCTCTTCCCAAAGAGCTTTAACAAAATTCCTGTGGAAGATTCCCATTGGCTGAGCTTGGGTCACATGCCCATCTCTGAACTACTCACAGTGGTCAGAGAGCACTGTCATCCTATTGGCTAGCTCAGATCATGGACTCACTCTGAGGACTTGTGGGGAGTCAGCCCACCCACACTGACTGAGAAGAAGTGGGGATCTTTAGAGGAAACTTGGAGTGTGGAGCCCTAAATAAGGGAAGTAGATGCTAGGCAGGCAAAAGTAACACATCTGCACAAATCCTCTTCATGCTGACCTTTTTCTCCTCCCCACAGAGTTTTCTGGTCACAGGACATGAACCCAGCCAGGTCCTGGTGTTGAGAACAGGACCTTCACCAGGGGAAGTCAACACCTACCAGATCCAGAAGCTTCCTGGAGGTGAGGTGCCTACCCCCGAGTTTGTAGTCAATAGCAAATTTATCATCAAGAATGGCCACCTTTACTTCCAAAATATCTCCCAAATCTCCCCAGTGCTCTCGGCCTTCATCACCCTAGTCTGAGCCATCATCACCTTTTTCTCAGACAATTTCAGTAGCCTCCTCTCTGGTATCCCCCTGCCTACCCTTTCCTTCCTGCAATCCAATCTGGGCACAGCAGCCAAAGTAGTATTTCAGTCCACCAGATGTTATATATTTCTGTTTTAAACTCTTAAAGGATATGCAATATCCTTAGTTAAAAATGTAAACTCATCATGGGTTATAAGGTGTTTCAGTACCAACCTGCCCACCTCTCCATCTGCCGCCTTTGTTCACTCTGCTCCAGCCACACTGTACTCTCCTCTGTTCCTCGGGCACACTAGATGAGTCCTAGCCTCAGGGCCTTTGCATTTGTTTACCCCAAATTAATGCTCTTCTTTGAATGATTGATTTATTTCCATCCTTCAGCCCTCTGTGGAAATGTAACCTTCCTTGATCGCCAGAGTTAAGAAAGCTCTAGTCATTTTCAATTACTCTATTTTGTTTATAGCACTCAATATAATATACTTCACTTATCTTTATTTTTCTACTCATTTATTTTCTGTCTTCCTCTACTGAAAGGTAAGCCATAGGAAGGCAGTGATTATGTCTGCTTTTTGACAACTGTATCCCCAGTATCTGGGAATGAAAAGGTGTTCAATAAATACTTATATGTCCAATGAATGAATATTTGGTGGCATAAGTGAGATGCAAGCCTAAAGATGCAGGAAAATATGGAGACTCCAAGGAGTAGAAATTCCCCCGTTCTGAAGGTTCTTGGGGGTTCAGGACTTGGGAAGAGAGAGTCCCAGGGAAGAGGAGGCTGCCACCCCTCATGTTTTCTAACTTGTCCCTCCTGGCCCCCTTCCCTAGGTGTGTCTCTGGAATCCTCTCACCTCTGCATGCCAGACCTGCCCCATCTCCTGGCCTTCCTGTCAGCCAGCAGGTACAAGTTACCCATCAAAAGGGCTAAGGGGGATCCTTCCTTAAAACACCTACCCACATTGTAGCTCCTACTTCTCTTTCCTCAGGGATGTTTTGCCCAGAACACTGCTCTTGCCCCCTCCCACTCTAGGGTCTGGAGAACAACACACAGGTGAGGCATGGTTCTCTAAGGGAGGGAGAGACCAACTTTCTGCCTACTTGGTCCCAGAGGATGGCAATTGGCAGACCAACTACTAGGTTTGAGGGAGGGTAAGGAAGGACATCTGAGAGAGCTGGAGGCGGGACTCCTGGGCCTGAATAAGGATGAGCCAAGGCCAAACCACAGCTCTTTCAGTAATAAGGCTGGGGACTAAGTCTCCTGATGCACTGAAGGGACCAGGGTTGGCCCCTTGGACATCAGGGACACCTCACTTCTGCTGGCCCTCAGATACTCTGCAGAATGGCAGTGTCCAACTCAACACCTCAGAGAGGATGATCTCTGTGGTGAACAAGCTCTACCTGGAGACCCACAGAGGGCAAGGGATGATATCTCCCCCAGAGACAGCTCCAGAGACTACCAAGATAAGTGATCCAGGTTAGCTGGGCAGGGCCCTGGGTCCTGGAGATGAGGAAGCTGCTGCTGCGGTTCCGTGGGACCAACCCTGTTTTCACATTCAGCCCCCAGGAACACCGCCCCTCATCGAGTCTCTTGGGTGGAAGGCCCGCTCAGCCCAGAAGTACACCATCCTGGGCCAGCTCTGGCCAGCCTGGGGGAGGAGGAGGACTACCAAGAAGAAGGACCTGGGGATGTGCTTACTAGTCATGTCCAGGCTCTGGCCAGGGCCCGGAGCAGCTATGTGGCCAGGCAGTTCCGAGGCCTTCAGGCACGCCTCACATCAGAAGCTGAGGGCCCCCACAGGCCTGGGGACCCCGCCACCGAGCTGCTCCAGGATGTGCGGCACCTCCTTACTGACCTCCAGGATCACTTAGCAACGGACCCCAATGTCAGGGCTATCTTTGGGAGCAGAGGGCCTGGGGTCCCCCAGAAGAACGAGGATCTTGGTAATAGGAGGACTGGGAGGGGATTTTTAGCCACTCCCTGAACCCACATGGTTCATATATGTACCATCCCTTGGCCCTACATATGTGTTCACACCCAAGTTCTTCCTCTCTATCCCTGTGCAACCTGCTTCCTTTTCCACTCACATGCCCTTTCTATAGGTAGTACCACCTATTCTATTCACCACCCCTCCATCTCACACAGGTGTGACAGCCATGATTCCCGCTCCCACATGCGTATTCACACCCAGGCTTTCTCTTCCACATGTGTTCATACCCACGTCTACACTTGTGGGTGGCCAGAAGTTAGGGAGGGGTGGCGGTAGGCCAGGGTGGGTGGGTGGAGCGAGCGGGTTGGTGCGGGCCAGGGGTTAGCCGAGCGACTCTTCCCTCCGCCCTCGCAGGCCCCGCGGTGGAGGCAGCCTTGTGCCGGGCAGTGCTGGCGCCGCTGATGCCGGCCCTGTGGACACGACTCCGCACGCTCAGGGCCCCAGAGCTGAGGCGACTGCGGAGGCAACAAATAGCCCTGCGGGCGGGGGCTGGGCCTCCCGGAGCTCAGGGGGCTGGGCCTGAGGGACAGGGCCCCGCCCCCACCCTGCGGAGCCGCATCCACTCACGCCTCCGGCACCTCCACGCTGCCTGTGCCCCACGCCGCAAGGTGGCGTTGCTGCTGGCGATGTGCAGGGACATCTACGAGGGCCTGGCTTCGGGTGAGAAACAAGGTAAAGGAGGAGGAGTCTGCATCTACCTGGATGTGGACCGCCCTTGAGGGTTGTAGGAGCCATTTAGGAGGTGCCTGTGTGCATGTCCGGGGCGAGGGTGGCATGTTCTATGTGAGGTGTCTATGCAGGCCTGGAGATCAGGTAAGAGGCGTTTGCACCCCAAGCAAGTGAGGGGCAGCCAGCGCTCGCTGTCCTGGGGATCGGATGGAAGGGGCCTGCACATCCCCATCCAGCTCAGAGCCTGCCCTTGGCGTCCCCAGAGCCCCTGGGCGCAGACGCCTTCCTGCCGGCGCTGACTGAGGAGCTTATCTGGAGTCCGGACATCGGGGAGACACAGCTGGACGTGGAGTTTCTTATGGAGCTCCTGGATCCTGAAGAGCTACTGGGAGAAGGTGAGCCCCCATCCCCAGAAGTCAGGACCCAACAGGGGGGCACCCCAAACAGCCTCACCTGCAACATGAGGAAAGGCTGGCAAACTGCAGGGGCCTTCGGGCCACCAGGAAAGCCGGGAGGGCTGCACCAACCCCTTCTTCTTGCCGCTAGTTGGTTACTACCTGACCACGTGGTTTGGGGCCCTGCACCACATCGCCCACTATCAGCCCGAAGCTGGACGAGCGCCACAGGAGCTCAGTTCCGAGGCCAGTGCCTCCCTGTGCCAGTGGCATCGCAGGCGAACGCTACAAGGACAGGGCCACTCCAGACCCCAGGTGACCGCTGGGTTGGACTGTGGGTAGAGGGGAGGACTGGCCCAATTGCCTTTCTGATCCAGGTTCCTGCCTGTCCCCCCAGGCTGATCTGCCCTTTGAAGAACCTTGGGAAATACAGACTGGGCCAAGAGACCAATGATGAATAGGGATCTCAAACCTTTCTGCTCTTCAAGCAAGACGCAGAGGCACCTGTTGTTCAGGAGCAGCAAGGAAGAGGAGGTCCCAGGAAAAGGGAATGGCTTACCTTGGGGTCTTTGCATTGGCTGTTCCTGCTTCCTGGAATGCCCTTCCCTAATATCCACACTGTCCCTTCCCTCCCTTCCTTCAGATCTTGAGGCAGATTTCACAGTCTCAGGGAGGTTCTCTCAGACACAACTGTCTGCAACTATAACTCCTCTCCCTTGACCTCCCTGTGGAAGGCAGAATAAGGCACCCCCCACCTCCTCCAATGTCCTCTTCCTAGTACCCAGAATCTGTGACTATGTTACTTTACATGGTAAAATGGATGTTATAGATGCGATTAAAGATTTTAAGGTGGGGAAGTTATCCTGGAATCTAGTGGGTCCAATATCATCACAAGGGTCCTTATAAGAGGGAGGCAGGAGGTTCAGAGTCAGAGGAAGAGATGTGATGATGCAAGCAGAGGTTGGAGTAAAGGCCAGGAGCTAAAGAAAGCAGGCACCCTCTAGAAGTTGAAAAAGACAAGGAGTGGATGTTCCCCTGGAACCTCCAGCAGAAATTCACCCTTTGATTTTAGACCCCTAAGATCTAGTTTGGACTTCTGACCTTCAGAACTGCAAGATAATAAATTGGTGTAGATTTTGTTAAGCCACTAAGTTTGTGGTAATTTGTTACAGCATCAGCAGGAAACTAATACACCCTACCCTGATCTGAAATTGAACCTCCTGGTTCATAGGTAGATGCTCAACCACTGGGTTGCGGGCTCAATCCCCAGTAGGGGGCGTGCAGGAGGCAGCCAATCAATGATTCTCTCATCATTGATGTTTTTATCTCTCTCCCTCTCGCTTCCTCTCTGAAATCAATAAAACTACATATATATATATATATATATATTATTTATTTATTTTTAAAGGGCAGGTAAATGGGAGGCTGTCAGATCCTATATGTCCTTGTTAAAAAGTATTCTGGATCTTTTCTAATTTTTGAGCCACCACGATCTGAGTCTTTTTGTCTTGACTTTTGTTTTTTTTACATCTAATGTACATTTACATACCAGGAACAAAAGTAACAGTATTAAACCAGTAACACTGATTAGGAAAAGAAAATGTCTTATATTAGACAAGGAAGGACCTGAAGAGGAACAAGTATCTACTATTATCCAGAAGTTCCAATTTTTCTACTGGGCAGTTAATTTCATCCATTCCTATATTTAGACAATATTCATCTAAAATACTCATCTAGATTAGATCTATATATAATTCTACCAGGGGAATTATTAGGGAGTGTTCTTGGAGAGGTTTGTACAAGAGAGGTCCTTTATAATAGATAAAGCCTGAAAAATGTACCAAAGCTTATATTGATAGTAAAAGACCACTAGTGTGGCCAACAAAATTTCATTATCATAGCTGATAATCAGAATATCATTGTCTAGTAGGTGAGAAAGATTAGCAGGTACCCAAGTTAAATTTTTCATGTCTATTAAGGAGAGAGGTCTGGGGAGACAGATATTGTTTTCATTAGGGTACAATAAGGAGGATAAAATATACCTCCTCGCGCGATTTCATCACGCCCTGGGCCTCTAGTAACAATATAAAAAAATCATTTTATGCCGAAACCGGTTTGGCTCAGTGGATAGAGCGTCGGCCTGCGGACTGAAAGGTCCTGGGTTCGATTCCGGTCAAGGGCATGTACCTGGGTTGCGGGCACATCCCCAGTAGGAGATGTGCAGGAGGCAGCTGGTCGATGTTTCTCTCTCATCGATGTTTCTAACTCTCTATCTCTCTCCCTTCCTCTCTGTAAAAAATCAATAAAATATATTTAAAAAATCATTTTGTATGCATTCAATCAATAACAATTAGGTGATATAAGAACAAGGTTTGAGCAGCATCAATTTGTGAGCATACAGGCCTTCCTTGTGAAGTCTTGGGATGGCTGTCTACCTCCTCCATAGTTGGTGGCTTCTCATCTTTGAGATGAAGGTGAGTGTCAGAGACAGGGGCAAATGTCCATTCATGGTTAGGCACCTGATAAGGTCCCTTTAACACTGGTGGAGAGAGTCTTTAATGAATGTATTTCCCAATGGACAAAAAATCTCCGGGTTGTCATGTCTTTGAATCTTTATCTCCTGAGAGTACTGTGAAATGAATGTTACTAATTTATTAATTCCTATAATGCAGAATATCTGCTTTTTAGTTTTCCTTATATTTGGGAAACAAAATATTTAAAAATCAACAATATTTTAAGAATAATTAGTCTCGCCCTAACCGGTTTGGCTCAGTGGATAGAGCGTCGGCCTGCGGACTGAAAGGTCCCAGGTTCGATTCCGGTCAAGGGCATGTACCTTGGTTGCGGGCACATCCCCAGTAGGAGGTGTGCAGGAGGCAGCTGATATTTCTCACTCATCAATGTTTCTAACTCTCTATCCCTCTCTCTTCCTCTCTGTAAAAAATCAATAAAATATATATATTTTTTAAAAAGAATAATTAATCTCAATTCATTTAGTTCCATGGTTAATTTTGTTTATCCTAATTATTTGCCAGTAGTTTTTTGAATTCAGTTATTCCTTGAAGTTCTATAAATCTTCATCCAGTTCAAAGATAATAGCCTACTTAGAAGCCTGCAACTTAAAGTAGGTCAGAGTCCTTTACATGGATTTTTCTAAAGATATAATATATCTGCAAATGCATCAGAATAAAGCAACAGCTGTCCATGAATGACAAAATTTAAAAGTGGTATGGTTATAGATTTGATTATAATGCAATTAATAAAAAACTGCTTTCCTATAAGATATAGCATTCCAAGACAACAATTTCTTGGTAAATAATAATTACTATAAAATGACATAGAGAATTATATAAAATTTGTATATTTTTAGATTCAATATAAAATTTCAGCATATAAAGAATAAAAAATATGTAAGATTTTAAAATGAGGCACATGGTTGCAAGCGGTATATTGAGCTTGAAAAATAATACATAGCCCTAGCCAGTTTGGCTCAGTGGATTTAGCGTCAACCTGTGGACTGAAGGGTCCCAGGTTCGATTCTGGTCAAGGGGACATGCCCAGGTTGCAGGCACGATGCCCAGTGGGGAGCATGCAGGAGGCAGCTAATCAATAATTCTCTCTCATCATTGATATTTCTATCTCGCTCTTCCTTCCTCTCTGAAATTAATTTTAAAATATTTAAAAGAAAAATAAAACATAAACTCCCCATATTTGAAACACAAATATCCAGGGTATCACTGCCAAACACCCCCACAGGGAATTATCACTCTTGGTTTGCCTGGTGTCCCTGACTGGACACATGCTACCCCTGAGAGTTTCCTGTTTGAACTTGGCTCTGAATCTTTGCAAGTTCCTTTCTGAAGCAGACTGAAATTTCTATAACATTCATTTTAACAAAATATATGTATATAAATAGGACATAGTTATTATTAATTTTTATTTGACAAAGCTTCCCACATAATTTTAAGTATATTAAATTGGCCTAATTTAGTTTAAAAATATTTCTTTTAAGAAGAGAGAATAGCCCTAGTCGGTTTGGCTCAGTGGATAGAGCATTGGCCTGTGAACTGAAAGGTCCCAAGTTTGATTCTGGTCAAGGGCACGTGCCCGGGTTGTGGGCTCGATCCCCAGTGGGGGACTTGCAGGAGGCAGCCGATCTATGATTCTCTCTCATCATGGATGTTTCTATCTCTCTCTCATTCTTCCTTCCTCTCTGAAATCAATAAAAATATATTTAAAAAAAAAGAAGAGAGAATAAATCCTTGAGTCATTCCAGGGCCCATTGGAATGACCCAAAGTCATTTCTCAGTTAAAAGTCTTAAAATTTAAACTTTGGATTGTCAAATATACTTAACCAAAAGATTACATCATTAACTCTTTGTAAATGTAGGTAAAAAAAACAACCATATTTTATGGTAATGACTCTAAAAGACATTAATCAAACTTAAATCTTTTAATATTTAAAAATTTTGTCCAGACCACAGAATTCTGCTTAATTTATATAAGTATTTAATATTTTTTAAATTATGCCAATAAAAGATTATATCCTAATAATGCTATCCAGAGGCTGAAAATTTACCACACATAGTACACAGACAAACACATCTATCTATCTATCTATCTATCTATCTATCTGGCTAATATGCTAAGTGTCTGTCCAGGTAATGACATCACGTAGCAACACTCAGCTTCCTCTCTCTAGTGACGACTAGCCTCCTTGTAGTTTCTTCAGCCCAGGAACACGACTTGCTTTATAGCCAGGTTTAAATATTTTATACTTTAACCAAATGTTTGTGAAGCGTATTCCTGTGCCTCATCTCACTTTATCCTCACAGAAGTCCTGGAGTAGGTAGATAGGAGACTCGGTAGAATCCTATTTTCTTTTCATTAGCTGGAAAATGGAGATTTAGAAAGCTTAGAAACTTGACAGAAAAGACATAAGAAATGGTTGACCTTGAAAATGACTTCAGGTTTCCTCACTGTGCAGAATATAGTCAAACATTGCTGCAGTTCAATATTTTACCCTTTGTTCTCCCTGCATGATCTACAATAATAATGTGCTTCGTGTTGATATTTACTGCTGTGTTGCTGACAATTACCTGAAAGAGAAGTTGGGGTGCTTCACTGGGCTGGAAAAAGTTTAAATCAGAAAGCAGGTTAATTAAGCAAGTTTATTCTATATATATAAAAGGCTAAGTTGACTCGCACATGCGCAATACATATAAAGCTCTCTCTGGCACCAATCGCACACGTGTGTTTTTGTCATTGTCAATCATGAATTTGGTTGACACTATAGAGAAAGAGTGAATAGCAATATTAAAATATTTCTTCTATTTAATAATTAATTTCCTTTCAATGTTCATGAATCCATGCACTGGGCCACTAATACCACATAAAGACCATATACATAAAGACCTTAACATAATTCGAATTACTAACTTTTGCAGAGAAAATGCAGTAATTTTTTTCTTCAAAAATGAATCTCCATAGCTCATGCATTATATTATCACAACCATAATAATTTCTCCCAACTTAATTTGAACTTTTAACTCTTAGAAGCCTCAATTTTCAATAATAACCAAAATAAAATAAGTGACCAGTATTCCTTAGATTGATGCTTATGAACACACTAGAGGCCTGGTGCATGAAATTTGTGCATGGGTAGGATCCCTAGGCCTGGCCAGCGATCAGGGCCAATCACGTTTCCCGCCTCCCTGACTCCCCACCTCCTCCTTCCCTCACTCCCTCAGTGCACCGGCCATGTTCTGCGCCACCCCTTGGTGGTCAGCGTATGTCATAGTGAGTGATTGAACTCCTGGTCTCCCAGTCTAACTCCTGAGGGGACAATTTGCATATTAGCATTTTATTATATAGGATTTTAAACACACTCTCACTTTCTTTTTTCTTTTTTTAAATTGATTTCAGAGAGGAAGGAAGAGGGAGAGAAAGATAGGAACATCAATGATGAGAGAGAACCATTGATCAGCTGCCTACAAGCCCCCCACTGGGGATTGAGCCCACAACCCAGGCATGTGCCCTTGACTGGAATCACACCTGGGACCCTTCAGTTCATAGGCCAATACTCTATCACTGAGCCAAACTAGCCAGGGCCACACTCTCACTTTCAAGAAACATACCTTTAAGCAAAAGACTATAAAGCTGAAATTCGTTTTACAGACTTTGGCAATAAAGACAAAAGCAGGCAAATTTAAAGACTTATTTAGCACTCACTGTTTCAGTATTTCATGTTATT